GCACATTTTGCAATCCTGCATGCACCTGGTCAGTATAAGTTTCCACATCTTTTAATGTGATCAATCAAGTCTGCGTCTGTTTTTCACATTTGCAACTCTTGAGTAAATCAGGCCCTAACGTTGATTGTTTCTAAAAAGAAAAAAAAAAGATAGTTCTTCTCTGCCAAAATATCCCTGTAAACATTGAAAACAAACACTTACTTGTGCCATTAAAAGAAGGAGGGATTAAACTGCTGCGGAATCACATAATTTACTATGTCATTACACCATTTGGAAATTGTGATAGCATCACTGATTTAATATACAGTATCAAAATGAGATCACGCTGCTTTTCTCTAGATATTCGATGATTCTAACCTGGGATTTTTTTATCCTGAGGTCAGCAGAGGCCCTCTCATCTTTGTTTGTCTCAAGCTGGTGTTCGATGCCTGTTTCAATACACACATACAAGGAATCAAAAAGACATTCTCTCGCTTTTTCACTTCTAAACAAGAACATCAACATGTTTCTGGTTAGTGTTTACATGCAGTAGACATAAACATTTTACACACTAATGTACAAATGCCAGGTTTTTGTAAGACCATTTCAGAACGTTTTCCACAATTAACGTGGTCCTATAGCCAGTACAACTCAACTTGTGTGTGTGTGTGTGTGTGTGTGTGTGTGTGTGTGTGTGTGTGTGTGTGTGTGTGTGTGTGTGTGTGTGTGTGTCCGTGCGCACACGCAATCACACACAGACATTCAAACACAAACATTCACACAGAGTAAAACAGTCCGGAATAAAAGCTTTAACTCCCCTTACAGTCACTCTTGTGATAACTGAAAACCTAAAACGTTCATCATATCTATTTTTGTCATCCTGTCATGAAATACTTTCATAGCAAGTAACCATTACAATTCCGATTTGTAAGAAACCTTGGTTGGTAACATCAGTCTAACATGTAAATAGATGCAAGGTAAAGTACTGACTCTTGAGTTTGTTTCTTGCATTGTTGGCAGACTTCTTAATCTCATTGGTGAGTGCTTCAAGATCATCCTGTGTTTCTAAATATAGAAATGAGGTGGAAGGGGGCAAGAAAACAATAAAGAGGAGAGACAATGCAAAGTACGATGAGTACTGAAGTATGACAAGTATACAACCATACATAATTGTAGAGAAATGTGTGTGTGTGTGTGTGTGTGTGTGTGTGTGTGAAGCTGAAGGTAATTTACTCTGGTCGGATGTTGGGGAGGACAAGATGGTGGAGTAGAGTTTTTTTATTTCTGTGACACTTTCATCAATCTTGTCAATACTGTTGCGGATATCCTCAATCTAAAACAAGATAGAACCACATACAGTCATGTATAAAAACATCATTAGTATTTCCATTGAATTGACATTGACTTGAAGATGTCGACATATATATACTACCTGGGCAAAAAAGTCTTCCATAAAAGCCTCATTTTCCACCGTAACCTCAATGTCATCCCCTCCGACATCACTTGTCTGTTTAAACCAAATTGGAAGACATTAATGAGGGGATCCAGAAAGCGAAAGAGCCAAAGGAAAAAATAACATACATTGTTTTGCATGAGGTCCAGTTTCCTACTTCAAGATACAATATTTGTATCAGTTATCTACTTCATTTGGGCCCTCCAAATGTATTTAAATGGCAAGCCATGCATTTGTACACATTCAATCAAAGTCAGGACAGCACTTCTTCCGAACATAATGTGTTGAGGAAAGTTTCGGGGAAGATTATCAATTGAATTAGGTCACATTCATCATATATTTTGAACAAGTTGTTTTTGACCTAGGATTCGTTTGTGAAGTTTGCTTCTAGGTTAGGCTTCTTAATAATGCATCATAACATTGGGATATGAAATTGACTGTGCTATACTGAATCTAATCATGTTAAATTGAGATACTTCAAACACGATTGTGGCATTTTAATTTATCAATAGTTATTTATAAAGATTAGCAGAATAACACTGTTTTCACAAGATGGTAAGGCACAGAGTAGAATCATAAACATTCTGCCTACCTCCTTGAGCTGAGCCAGTCTGTCCTTCATTGTGACAAATCTATAACTACAAAACAAAAGAAAAATAATTTAAACGTGGAGGAAAAAAAAGCCAATTCTTGAAAAAAACTGCTGAATCCTGTTTTATCTCTGTCTGAAAATCTAAATAAAGTAACCTGAGAATGGTGATGAAATGCTAAATGCTAAACAAAAATGTAATTGTTAAAAGAGAGAATAAATGCAATAAATTTCGCAAACGTTAGGGTTTTAACAAACAAAAAGAAAAAAACAACAAATAAATACATCACCACAGAAGTTAGAGAGGGGCGTCGAAACAAATCACTAATGGGACATCACTGTCAATATAACCTGAGGTCTCACTAAGCCTCTCTCTCTAAGAACAGATTAGGGTAGTAGTTCAAGATGACAAAGCTGTCCCTCCCCCACTCGTTCCAAGTCCATCTTGATAGGCTTTAGATTCCCACAGTGAGAAATGGCACTTAGAACTTATTTGGTTTGAGCTGCTCCGTGCGCGTGCGCACACACACACAAACACACACACACGTGCACATTCAAGTTTCTCTCTTTCTCTCTTTCTCTCTCTCTCTCTCTCTCTCTCTCTGTATATATATATATATATGGGAGGAAATATACAGTACCACTAATTCAACGAGATAGGAAGGTGCTCAGCAATGTTAGATTTTAGGTCAGTAAAAAACCTTGAAATTGCATTTCAAAGGTTCCTTTATTTTGAGCACCCGGAAAAAACTCACGCAGGCCCAGGGAGAACATGCAAACTCCACACAGGAAGGCCGGAGCCGGGATTGAACCCACGACCTCTGCACTGTGAGGTCGATGCGCTAACCACTGGACCACCGGTCTGCCAGTCGTACACATTTCACACTTAAAACCTTGCTACCCCTCTGCTCAGGACCGACAGGAACAGGGGCGCTAAAGGGTCTTGGACATCCTGGAAAAGGAGTCTGACGAAGGGGACTTTCTTGAGTTTGAATACTCAGGTTCAACGGGAGGGTTGCACTACAACTGGCCAGGTCATCACCCTACAAGGAGTCTGCAAAAGTTTAAAAAAAAAAAAAAAAAAAAATCACATAATGTTCACCTAACTACAACAAACGAACTGCACCTTATCTTTGGTCAGCTTTGGCTACACTCAGAATGAGGCCATAATCCATTCATTTGTCCTACCGTGTTTCGCATTTTAAAACGCCCAACCAAACGATGGACAATAACATGCACCCTTTAGCCTGGAGGAGTCTTAACTTGACTTTCAGGAAGTCTGTTCCTGAAAGCCGAAGTGACATCACTGACTGGCAGGCAGAGTATAGTGTGTGTAGTGCGAGAAAACTTTGGAGCTTACCATTTTCTTTGCCTCAATAAAAGATGAAGATGCATTGACTTAACGCCATGTCATCTTCACAGTCTGTCAGAGTTGGATCTTGGAGCGCTTGGTGAAGTTCGACGTGGAGCCAGTATCCCCTCAGTGAGAAAATTCACGGACAACACCTGCCCGGGAAATACTCCGGATCAAGTGACAAATGCGCCGAGTTAATCGAGAGACACTGATGCTGCCCTGTGGGTTTTTGTTTCATTTTGGTTTGCTTGTTTCAAGGTAAAGACAGTACTGGATTTCGGTTTGCATAAGAAGATTTGTGTTTCACTGGGACGCATTCGCCTTTCTCCTCGTAGTGTTTGTGTTGGTGGATGGACGAGGTCGAGGTCAAGTTGAACTGGATTTCTGGATAACAATACTGTACTTGTGTTTCTCTGGGGTGAAATCACTCATGTTTCTCCTTCAAGAATTGTGAGTCAAACAAGCACCAACCCTCACATGCTGTTGCTTGAGGGCACTGAAGGCTGTTTATGTTGCAATGTTAATTTATTTTGGGAAGAGTTATTTTTTGGGGTTTGTCTATTGGGACTGGTATTCATTATGTGTAGATTCATTATATAAAAAAAAAAAAAAAGTTTTGTTTACTTCATAAATTGTCAGACTTTGCACTGACTCGCAGAACCTTTTTCAGTCTGAAACCCGTCACACACGGTTACAAATGCCTGGGCCAACTGATTGGTGAATCTCTTAATTTGAAATAACCTGAACTGTCGTGTGAAAAGAAATAAGTTGTGGTTTTCTATTAACATTAAAAAGTGTCTTTTTTTTTTAACCTGTTTTAGACTATGGTGATTTTTTTTGTACCGTACAGGCGTGCCTTTGCACAGTGTCTATATCAAATTGATACTCCCTACCATGCATTCTTGAGGTTCATAACAAAGTTTAAAGTTCTGTCTCACCAGTTGTACGCTCAGGTTGGATGCGCTGCATTGGCGATCTGCATGCTCACTCACTGGCACAGGTGTATTCATAAGGCAAGACTCGGTCTGCTTCCCCCACTATCTTTGTGTTTGTATCAGGTGGAGAAGTACCCAGCTATATTCATTGCATTCTCAGGACCACTTGATAGTCATTTTTCCAAACACTGACAGAAACTAGGAAAAAGGCACTCTACACCTTCAGCCTGTAATTTCCTACAGAATGACTCAAAACCCAAGGAAACAGTGCCCTTAAATGTGTTTACATTTAAAGTGAAAGACATGGGAGCAGCTTCCATAGGATGTTGATGTTGGAGCGTGGCTGTTTGAACAATCTATTCTTAGCCATGCTCATAGATGGTTGAATCCGAAAATTTGTGAAATTGGAAATTGTACTTTGTTTCTCTTTGTATGTCTGTAACTTTGTTTTAAAGGTTCTTCATCTCACTGAGATCTAAACTGGTGAAATAATGACTTTATGGAATAAAGTACAGTGATTAAGACAAGTGTGGTCAGTGTAGTGTGTCCTGAAATTCTACCAATCCATAGTATAGTCTACCCCAATGTGACACACTAAACACTATTTTATGACCATTTTTCAATTATTCCAACAACAAAGCTTGTATTCTTAATCTGTGCCTGAGATGTTAAAAAAAGGGATCAAAACTGTTCCAGTCTCTTATTTTATTTCTCACCGAAAATTACATGAATTAATTAACACATTAACAGTATGGCTGCACTTGTAAAAAGCCTCCGTGGAGAGAAATATGCTGTAAATTATAAACGGAAATTCTGTTTCACTCTAATAGCTCTTTGGAGTCTCATATTTATCAGGAAAGCTAAGGCTGATGTGTCCACTCCCAGCGACAAGTGGCAGTATTCCAGCGTTGGGTACGACATTCCATGACAGCGTCAGAGTGATGTTCTTGTTGGCCCTGGATGAAAGATAGTCATGTCAGTTATCGACTCTCACACAAAGCACTCGTAATGACAAGGGTCAAGTGTCTACAGGAACAAAAACACGCGCACATGGCTTGCTTGACTGCCCCCGTTTCAACAATCATGTCGAAACTGCCGGCAACAAAAAAAGAGCAAGTCACCTAACACCATGCAAGGAGACCAAAAATCCAAAATGAAGCTCTATCCAATGCACCATTCAAAACTGTATCCACACAATGCAGAGTTTGTTTGAGAGGTTCTTCATCTCACTGAGATCTAAACTCGTGAAATAAGTTGACCAAGGTAACATTCTTAAAACGCACAGAAAAATAACAACAAAATAATACAATAAAAAGCACTATCATAGACCTCAGGCAAAAAAATCACCCTGTTATGCAAAGAAAACAAGAAATGCGTGAATAAGTATTATCGCGACAGGTCATAGATGGATAAAGAAGCTGTGCAGTGCTGCTTTGAGATACAAGTTTACCATGTTCCATGATCATATTCATACCTTAAACCTGAAATCATTGCTCCCCAGTGAAAGGAATAGAAAAGTCAATCAATTCTAGGGCTGCAACTACCGATTATTTTAACAATGGATTAGTCTTCTGATTACTTTATTGATTAATCAAATTTGATTTAATAAAACAAATGAGTTTGGCCGATAACGTCAGAAAATAAGGAAAGATGATCACTGTTTTCAAAAGTCAAAGCAGATGTTTTCAAATGTCTTATTTTAACACAAAAAATAATCAATCTGCTTTCACGGGGGACTACAGAAATCTGAATAGTTATGTCGAGAGGCTGAAATTCCAAAGGTTGGGACAATTTTAAGTCACACAAGGTCCCTGTAGTAATCCGAATGAAAAATAATTATTAATTTGATCATTAATTTTCCATCATTACACCCCTAATACATTGTAACATCCCCTCTCCCAAAAAATGTGACATTTTAATGACAAAAATGACACTGAACGAAAGTTTTCTTTTGACTCAACTCAACTGTATTTATAGAGCACTTTAAAAAAGCCATCGCTGTATACAAAGTGCTGTACATGGAGCAACTATATATATATATATATATATATATATACACACACACACACACACACACACAAAACAATAAAGCAATAAATCATTAGAAAGCACCAAACAGTAAAACTAAGATCAAGTCTTATGCTGAGTCAAATGCCAAGGAATACAAGTGAGTTTTGAGGTGGGTTTTAAAGATGGGCAGTGAGGGGGCTTGCCAACTTTCCAGTGGGACGTTATTCCGAGAGGGGACCAGCAACGGAAAAGGCTCGATCCCCTCTGAGTCTCCGCTTAGTTCTTGGTACTTCTAATAATGTCTGGTCCGCAGAAACTGAGGCGCCGGCGCAGGTGTATAGGGACGGATGAGCTCAGAGAGGTAAGGTGGTGCGAGGTCATTTACAGATTTGAAAACAAATGACAGGATCTTAAAAAGAACTCTAAAATTTATAGGGAGCCAGTGAAGGGATGCCAGAGTAAGAGTTATGTGCTCCTTCTTACGAGCACCAGTCAAGAGGCGAGCAGCAGCATTCTGGACCAGCTGGAGACGCTTAATGGAGGATTGACTGACTCCAAAGTAAAGTGCATTACAGTAATCGAGCCAGGATGTGACGAAGGCATGAATTACTGTCTCAAGATGCTCATGAGACAGGAGAGGTTTTACTTTAGCCAGCTGCCTAAGATGAAAGAAGCTGGATTTAAAAACGGCACCAATTTGCCGGTCAAGTTTAAAATCACTGTCCAGTTTAAGACCCAGGTTTGAGACTGTTGACTTAAGATAAGGAGAAAAACACGCAATTACATAATTATATAGAACTGAAATTAACTAACCAGTTTCCATCTCATTTTGCATAACACCGGGGCAGTGTGACAGACAAACAGACTACAAATGAACGTCGGTATAGACATCTCAGCTCCTTGCAGAGAATAAAGTAACTGTATGTATAATTTAGAGTATATAACATATATATCTGGTATATAACGCATAGAACAGAGCAGTTATATCTATTGTCTATATGTGTTGCTGCACCATTTGTGTTCACGCGTCAGTTACTTAAAGCAGGGGTCCTCAAGCTTTTTTGCCCCACGGACCGGTTTATGTCAGACAAAATTTTCAGGGACCGGCATTTAAGGTGTGGCGGAAATAATACAACAAAATAATATGGTATGAGCTGCATGAAAACTGTGGCGTTTTCGAAATATAATAATAAACACAAGGAGCGTCTAATCTGGCCGCAACACTCCGATCGCTATGGCAATGTTTAATGCCTTCAAAATACGATACAACGCAAATTCAAAGTGCATGAAAATGACGACTCACCACAGCACCGAGCTTGATTTTCTGCAACCAGACGGTCCCATCTCAGGGTAATAGGAGACAATGACACCTCAAAGAAGCGTGGCTTGACGTGTGTCAAGCGTGACAGACGGATGTAACGGAGAATCCGGTAATTTTTCAAAATACAACATCTTTCGTATTCCGAAATAAATAAAACGGAATTAAGGCAAGTTCTTTCTGTGCGGCCCGGTAAGAAATACCCCGTGGACCGACCGGCGGTTGGGGACCCCTGACTTAAAGGAATGTATACAGCTGTTGGGCGAAAACCCAGTATGTTCAAATACAGTAATTAATATATATATATAGAGAGAGAGCGAGAGAGAGAGAGGGAGAGAGAGAGAAATCCATGGTGTCCCCGCTTTATTTTTACGCATCATATACCAATTTAAAGTGGTGAACATACTTTAAGAACAAATATATTGGCGCCCTTGAATGCCCAAAATGTCCGAGAAGTGCAGTACAAAACCTTAATATTTCTGAGTTCTGCAGAAGCCATGTGGCATAATTGTTACCGTCATTGAAAGTGTCAATGTTTTCGAGACAATAAATAAAAATAGTGACGTTAAATGAGCTTGTTTTGTTAAATTCAAGGTGGGCGACTGGTTAGTGCGTTGGCCTCACAGTGCGGAGGTGCAGGGTTCGAATCCAGCGCCGGCCTTCCTGTGTGGAGTTTGCTCTTTCCATGCCTGTGTGGGTTTTCTCTTCCTCCCACATTCCAAAAACCTGTGTGGCAGGTTCATGGAACGCTGTAAATTGTCCCTACGTGTGATTGTAAGCGCAACTGGTCATTTGTCTATGTGTGCCGTGCGATCGGCTGTCAACCTACTGCCCGAAGACAGCTGGGATAGGCTCCAGAACCCCCCGCAACCCTTGTGAGGATAAGCGGATTCAAAAATGGATGGACGAACAATTTAAGTGTGTGTGTGTGTGTGTGTGTGTGTGTGTGTGTGTGTGTGTGTGTGTGTGAGGTATATCATTTTTAAAAAACGTGTTTCGGATTTCATGTGAGATCGCAGTTTTTTTTTCCCCCTGAAAAGTACGTAGTCATTTATGTTGATACAAGGATTCCGCCTGACAGCAACTACATTTTTTTTTTTTTTGCAATAATGCCTGTATATGTGCATTAGCATTACACAAGCAGACAAAAGGCATCAAGCTATCTGGCCAAAGGCTCTGTGGTTGTTTTAAAAACACAATATGCCATTCTTGTTTAGTTCATTATGAGTGGCATGAAACAACTAGAAGGCTGTTTTTTGAAGTAATTGTTCAGCTCGGTGCCACCATAAAGCGCTCATATGCTGTAAATATTCTCTAGTACGGACTCATGTTTGCGCTGTCCAATCCTTTCTAATAAAGGAATTTCCCTATGTGGGAAATGAGCATGGTGCATGTCCTTTATGAACATGCAAGTATGTGAACAAAATACACGTGTAACAACACAAGCAATGAAATGCAAAAATATATGCTCCTAACACTGTTTATAACACAAAAGCTGCAGTACAATATACTGTACAGGAATATGAACAAAATACAATATAACAAACTTAGGACTATTTGCTCTAAAATGAGACGAGTAACAGACCCGGTGGCTTTTCTTACCACTATCTCACTGTCTCTAACTCGACCTCCCCTCGATCGCCACCCAAGACAGCGTTGCTCAGCCGATAGCCGATGTCATGTAATGAACTTTTAAAGCCAGCCACGGGATGCTTCGTAGTCCTCGATGGCCATAGTTAGCGCGATGGAACTCGCCTTCTCTCTAATTAGCGCTCCAGTTAGTGTAAGGTTTTTAGCATGATAACAAGTAAAGCATTCCAGGAAACGTTCGTTTATTTGACTGTCCGTCGAGCCACAAGCAATTTACTCTGAGCAGCTCATCGGACGCATTCCACTCTATCTTCCACGGATCAAGCTACAGTATCTACACACATATAGTGAGGTCCCTCTTGGCCAATCGGAGGCCAGGATGAAGCTCGGCAAGCCAATGGCAGAGCAGCTATGAATATGTTGCATTCAGGAAACTCGGGAGCTGTGAATGAAATAAAAATCGTGCACTATTGCAGTCAAACTCATGCTAATAGAGTCACTTACATGTCACCGTTTTGTATTCAATGACAGTAAATACCGGCACGGACAGAGTTATTCCGTAGTATCGAGCGGGACTTGCTTGTGTTTGCGCCACTGCGTGCTTCTGTATGGGTTCCGGGTAGTGGAAATTCCGTTGTTATGAATTGATCGTTAATGTAACATCGTAGTTGAAGTTTTAATGCATAGGTTTTTAGTCCGGGTGAAGGAATTTCCTTTTGAAAGAACTCCGTAGATGGGAATATTTACTGTACAAAGTCAAGTCAAGGCGAATAATCATCCAAATGAATGCTCACTGTACCACTGTTTAGATACATGTTTGTGGTCTGAGCGGAATGGGAACAGTACTCTCCATAATTATTGGCACTCCTGTTTAAGATGGAAAAAGGCTGATACAAAACGATGGTAAAAAAGCATTTGCTGCCGTAATCAACCAAGGTGTGCCCCCGAAATAGCGTCATAAGTAGTCATAACACTTGTAATCGGTCAGTTAGCCCATTTAAAGTGTGACAAGTAGTCATTGTGCTGCTTGCTGACATGGTTTGTAACACATTGTAACCATACATCAGAAGTAGCGAAGGAAGGAATTGTCTCAGACTGTTAGATACAAGCAGTTATCAACTTGATGTTTCTGTGATCACAGTCGCATATATGACTCAGAAATTTAAGATCCGCAAGGCTAAAGCCAATTCAAAACCAATGTCTCATTTTCACCGTTTAAATTTAATACTACAGTATTTCAATATATTAATACTTAAGATTCAAGTTATTGCTGTGACCGCTGTGTGCTTTTCTTTAATTCACAAAGAGGCACCAACAATTTTGTACACTTGTGTAGATGCGTATACCGTATACGTACACAGATAAAGCTTAGGCTCAGCCTTTTTCAACCATCAGCCACGTGTATGCCTTACCTGAGACCGTTTCCATCATCAAAGAAGAAGTATTTGGATTTTGTCTCTCTGAGGTTCAGTTTGTTGCTTTCTCCTCGGAGGACAATCTTATCCCAGAGCACCACCTGGTTCAAAGACTGATAAACAAACACACACGCAAACATTTTATGTTCCAACTTGCAGAATGTTTTGGGCAGGTACAGTATGTGGCAAAATGTCCACTGACACGATTGAATAAATTCACATTTTCAATTACAGCAAACATTGTCCTGAATTCATGAAGTACCGTATCTCAAAAATATGTATACACGTGTGTGTGTGTGTGTGTGTGTGTATATGTGATAGAGAGTGTATGTATATATATATAT